GTTAAAAAAAAAAAAAAAAAAAAAAGCTGCTCTGTGTCCCCACCAATACTTCTCAGGGAAGAAATCTCTAACAGGAATTTGAACTCCCTTGGACTTGCTGTAAGGGATGGGGCCCTCTCTGTTGGCGGAGACTAAAGACAGACCCAGGGCTGATGGAAAATGCCCTGTCAGTAAACCAAGCTTTAATGTTCCCAACTCCAGAACCAGTCGCTGAGCCCTTTGTGACCGACCTGCAGGGTGCCATCTTGGCTAGAGCTTTGCTCTCAAAGGCAGTTCCATCACCATGGGCCAGTTCTTGCTTAACTAAACCACGGTTCTTTTCCTTTCGAAGGGGGAGCTGACAATCACAACAGACATGGAGGATTTGTCTAATGCTCTCTTCTATGACAACGTGCCCGAATTCTGGACAAACCGGGCCTACCCCTCCTTACTTGGCTTGGGAGCCTGGTATGCTGACCTACTGCTCCGGGTCCGGGTGAGTCTGCTACACCTCCAGCCTCTCTTCATGGCTCTTCGTGGGCCAAAGATCTCTCTTCAAACTGTTGCTCATGGAACATATATTGCTGTCTGGCCAGGGCTAGGCATATGAAGGTGCTTTGCATTGCTTGCAAGGATCTAAATTATGTACTAAAAGGAGCATCAGAGCTCAAACACTTCTCAAAAGCCCAGAAAATCTAGCTTGCTTTGCAAGAACCTGGGGTGCTGAGACCACCATGGCTTGAAAGCACAGTGCTGAAGTGATAAGGGCTAAGTGCACTTAGGAGCCAGGGCTACATCTTCATCTGAGGGGCTAAAGAGATGGCAAGTCCCTCTTGCCTCAATTCGTGCCTGGAATTCAGGGCTTTCGAAGAAGCAGGGAAGATGGAGTGTAGCTCTTCTCTCAAGTACACAGTTGGCATTACAAACCAGCGTGGGAGGTGCCATAGGAGAACCAAACAGATTCTAAATCTGTAATCTTCATTATAAATTTGCCCTGATTCCAGCATTTAATGTCCAGCCACTTAATGGAGCTGCATCAGTACAAACCCCAAAAGGTAGCTCATGACAGCTGCACTTCGCACCAACAAAGATTTTCTGGTGCAAAGCACAACCTTCTTCACCTGCACATGAGGTTTGCAGTGGTGCAGTGGCAGCAATTGATGCAAAGCCCCACTGAAGACAAAGCCTTAGTTTTTCCAAAGAGTCTCAGCTTGGTGCCCTTCTCCTTGGTGACTACCCTGTCCACCTGCAGCATCGCAGACCCAAGAGGGGCTCTGCTGAGATAGGGTTGTTCTTTGGAAACTTACTCCAGGTGTTTCTCTGTCTGCCACATGCCATTACTTTCACAACTTGTCCCTCCTGAAATTGCAATCCACTGAAGATGGGGGTCTTAAATCAAAGAGGGGCTGTAAAGACAGTTCTCCCAAAATGGATTACAGGAGTAAATGCAGTAACAAGTCCAATGTATCACTCCACCAATTCAACAGATGCACCACAGCCGATGTACTTGGCTTTAAACTGCTGCTGCTTTATTTTTCAGGAACTAGAGGCCTGGACGACTGACTTTGCACTACCCACAACAGTGTGGCTGGCAGGCTTCTTCAATCCCCAGTCTTTTCTCACAGCTATCATGCAGTCTATGGCCAGAAAGAATGAATGGCCACTTGACAAGATGTGTCTTTCAGTGGAAGTGACCAAGAAAAACCGGGAGGATATGACGGCTCCACCCCGAGAAGGCTCCTATGTGCATGGGCTGTTCATGGAAGGTACAGGACCACCTCTTTTTGGCAGACCCACGCCTGAACAATTAGCCCAGCACACACTTAGAATCATAGACTAGCAGGGCTGGAAGGGACCTCATCTAGTCCCACCCCTGCTCAAAGCAGGACCAATCCCCAACTAAATCCCCACATGGCCCCCTCAAGGATTGAACTCATAACCCTGGGTTTAGCAGGCCAATGCTCAAACCACTGAGCTATCCCTCCTCCCCTTCTTGAAGGCAAATGCTGTGCAATCTGCATTTGTACAGTTTTTGCTCCTCAGACCTAACATTGAATGTTAATCTCCAGCACCCTGCTACCATGTACTGATCTTCTCCACAACCATCTCAGCCTTTGCTCTCCTGCCCTACAGTAAGTGATCCAGGCCCTTCCGCCTCACTCCTAAATTGGCTTGGTTTGAGGCAGCAGTTTCTAGCAGGGTTTACACTGTGCATCTTTCTAATCTCCAAGCCCTGCTCTGTCCCTGCACTTTTCTGCTGCAACAATGATTCCACCCCACCTGTGAGCGCTACTCAGCACAGTGTCAGGTAAAGTGGAAGCTCTATCCCAGTGCTGATATTTCCTGCAGCTTAATACCCATTGTGTCCCTGCTAAACTTTAAGGTAGCGTACAGATAGTTACCTAGTTAATGCTTATGCACCTATTACTGTAATAAAGTAGCAATTAGTCTTTCCCAAGCAGTAGTCGAGGAATAACTGATGTCATGTTTGTCAGCACCGCAGGAGTGTAGTGTGAACTGGAGCCAGCTCTCATTTATTTGGCAATAATAGAGCCGCCAGGTTCAGTTTGGGTAGCAGCTGCCTTTATTGTGCATCATTGTCAGAAACATGCCAGCAGAGGGCAGCCCTCATCTAACAGACAAACAGTGACCATTAGTATTTATTTATTTTGGAAATTAAGACAGCTACAGGTGAACCTCAGAGCAGAGACAGCTGATGTTATGTGGGTCTCATATATATATATAAATAAGGAAGCTATGACTGGACTCAGGGAATATTCTCTCAGCTGTAGTTTGAGGTCCCTTACAGCTAATAAACACAGAGGGATGAGGCCCTGGCAGGATCACTGTACTGTCAAGCTTAGGTCCATGCCCAGCAGATGCTATGGGAGAGTTTCCATATTTACCATTCTTCCCCAAGCTGTGCAGTCTCCCCTGACATGGGCCCTGGGGGGGGAGAGTAAGGACAGAATTGACCATTGTAGTTAGAGATCTTATCCTTAGTAATATTGTTAGGGGTGACTAAGCCCAGGCTACTTCAGTACAGCCCTTTGGTCCTCCAGCTGACCCTTAACCATGCTTCTAGGAGAACTCTTCCCCCCAGCAGATACAGCAAATAGAACCCATGGCAGCTGGTATACTGACTAAGCCATAACACTGCAGGTGCTCGGTGGGACATTCCTAGTGGTGTCATCACAGACGCTCGGCTGAAGGAGTTAACGCCCTCGATGCCAGTCATCTTCATCAGAGCCATCCCTGTGGACCGTATGGACACCAAGAACGTCTACGAGTGCCCAGTCTACAAGACTCGCACGCGAGGCCCCACCTACGTCTGGACCTTCAATCTAAAGACAAAAGAGAAGCCAGCTAAGTGGATTCTTGCTGCTGTTGCTTTGCTCTTACAAGTTTAAACTTTTACTGCCTCTGCAAAGCACTTGCTCCACATGCCGAAGTACCACCCAGCTCAACACTAATCCCATTCGTCAGAAAGTCCACCAAGCTTTTTGTCTGCCCCAAAGTATTTTAATAGTGACAATAAAAGATAAACATGAAATGAAAGTGTTAGTGCTCAGGTAGATAAAACAATTGGCCAGCGGTGGATTGGTGTCACAATACACATCAGAGAGGTGCCAGCCGTGGGGAACTCCACAAGGCAGGTTACAGTAAAGCACTACAGGCCCAGCACTGAAGAGAAGGTGGAAGCCAAAGTAAAGGCCTTGTCTACACCGCCATGTTACAGCGCTGAAACTTTCTTGCTCAGGGGGGTGAAAAAACACCCCCCTCCATGCTGTAAAGTGGCAGTGTAGATAGTGCACCAGTGCTGGGAGCTACTCCCCTCGTGGGGGTGGGGTTTTTACAGTGCTCACAGCACTGGTGCCGTGACTATACGGCCACATTAAAGCGCTTTAACGTTTAGTAGTGAAGACACCCAAAGTTTGTATGTGGCCGTCTGGATTCCTCAGCGCTCAGTGCCTGTTCAGTGCTCCTATGTGCTGGAGTTCCAGTCCCTTCCCCAAAGAGCTTCCAACGTAAACAGACCAGACAAAAAGTGAAGGAGAAACAGAGCCAGGAAGAGAGCCCAGGTACCGACACTGTCCAGTGCCTTAGCTACCGCTCTGCACAGCCTCTGTGCTATCCTCTACTTCCCAGCAGTGGAAACGTGCACACAGGCCACCCCGATCAACCTTTAAGCATCTGCTATTAAGCCTTCCAGCACCTGTCCAACAGGGCTGCATAAAGAATACACTCTGGCCATGCTCCCTGTTTACTACCCATTTTTCTAGCTGGGGGGGAAGTCAGTCAGGAAGCACATGTCCTTCTGTTTCTAGGATGTGATGTCTATCTGTCCCTGTGCTCACAGAAGTGCAGTTGTGTCAGACAAGGCCACACACTACAGCCAGCCTTTGAAATACAGCCAGAGTCGTTACAAGACTCATGAGAAACGAGAGAGAAAAAAGGTGAGAAATGGTGCTCTCCAAAGCACTAGCAGTGGCAAGGCCTGTCACCAGTGGCTAGGAGGCCCCTCACGGCTGGTACTGTGTGCAGGGACCATGAAAGCGAACTCCCCTCTCACCCCCGAGGGGAACCATTGTGGCAGAAGCAGGAGCAAGCTCCCTTGGTGTAGCTGTTTGGAGCATAAAGGATTTGGGTTCGCCTTCATGCCACGGCCATTGCCGCCTGGCCAGGCAGCTCAGCACTGATAGTTAGGGGCTGACCACCCAGAAGAACCCCCCCCCCCCTTCTGTATGGAGTAGTTTGCTATTTAACATCTGCTAGCAGCACTCAACTGCCTGAAGACAAAATGATAAAACCCCAGTGCTTCAGCATCTTCTATTTCAACACTGTGACTTTGGCCGAGAGGGGAGAGCTGTGAAGGAATGCTCAGGGCAACAGGCAACTGCCAGGCTGCTTGTGGTCCAGGGCTCACCTGGCCATTTATGAGGCCTCAGTAGTCCTGGTTCTTCAATCCCTGGAAACAGAGGAAGTTTAGAACCAGTTACCCTGATGGCAGGTGGCTGAGACTTACCCAGAGCAAGCAATCTGGGCTCCCAGAACCAGAGGGTTGAGTGAAGGTAAAGGACCAGAAAACACATACACATGCTCCAGCACTAAGGGTCTTGGGAATGAAAATTGGCAAAAGTTGAAGTCTGAGTCGGCATTTTCACCAAGTCTAGGGGATTAACTGGGTGAAAAGTCCTGGATCAGTGAGTCCACCGCCATAGGAAGACAGACAGCAAATGGCCTTGTGTCAGCCAACATTCATGTGATAAAGGTATTTTAGAGGAGACCTCATCCTTACAAAGCAAAAGCCAGAGGTAATGCTGACTTTTTCCCCTCTTTAATCCCAACTCAGGCAGGAGAGCAGCTTAGATTTCCCCACAGTGTCTCCCATTGGCTGGCCAGGGTAAAATCTAGGCCTGACCCTAGGTTAAGTCGCCATTGCAGAAGAGAAAGTCTTATCAATGCATGGGGATAACTTGGACTCCTGCCTCCCACTTCCTGAAAAGGATCCTTAGTTACTGCTAGACTACGACATGCATTGGAGATATAACCCACTCAAATGGAAATCGAATACAGGCCCTCAGGAAAGAGCTTCACACTGCACTGAAAACCTTCCCCATGCAAGGGAAGCATTGGACTGATTCTTCCCACTGCATTAATAAGTGCAATCATCTCAGTATCATTTCCTGCAGCTTTAGTTCTTCCTGGAGCAAAACTTCAGACTCACCTAGAGGAAGATCCTTTCTCCTTTCAAAAGAAGTTCTTAATCAGAGGCGTTACTAGCTTCACCCACAGCTTTACATAGCGGGTTGGCTGTTCAAATGTAGATGACGACACGACGCCTGACTTGAGGTAAAGCTGCTCCTGCTCCTACAAGACAAAATCCCAAAAGCCAGTTTCACCATTGCGCCCTCACATCATCTGGCACCCTAGCCAGATTTGGAGCACCTACAGTCACAGCTTTTGCCTGGCCAGAGAGGCATATCACCCTTCTCTCATAGGGCTGCACACACATCAGGGCTAAGAATCCAGCCTGCCCCCTCCATGTGATGTGAATTGTAGACAAGTAGCCCAGCCATTGAGCTGTGAGCATGGGGAATGTCACATGGCAACTGCCCCGAGGTGTGACTGCTGCAGCAACATTCTGAGGCTTGACAGCTGCATTCTGAAGAGCCACATTCACATCACATTCTGGAGAAACGTACTCAGAACCTGAACATTGGAACTCAAAGGGCCCAAGGTGGGTGGCTTTGCAGGATCAGGCCCTACAACTATCCCTAATTACGTAACTAAACTACAGTTATAGGAATAACGTAAGTCAAACCCCTAGCTGTAATTGCCTGAAAAGGAAACCTGACTTTAATCTCAAGAGACTGGTTTGCAGAACTCATCCTAGACACAGCTCTAGTGTTGTGTTTTCAAATGAATATGCAGTCATGATTTCAATTAAATTACCAGAAATGCTTAAGTGCCTTTAAAGTATAAACAATACAACTGGAAGAGGAAGTGAACCATCTCTGTTACAATAGACATTTCACATAGCACATGAAAAATAGTGGTTTGATCAAAGGCAGAAGTGGCTCTTTCTGCAAAACTAGCAAGGTTTCTGGTTTTACTCTACATGCAAACAAGAAGCAGGACGTTTGTCAGATGTAGCAAAATACCTCAATTTCTACTCCACAGATTACAGAAATCTTTCCCTGTGAGAAAGCCCGTAAGCACTCTGAATTTTGACACATCAGGAAAGGAACCACAAATTATGGGAAATAAACACAAAGGGCTGAATGTAAAAGATTCCGGCAGTAACGAGCCTGCTTTTAGAAATGAAGAGTGTTGCAAATCCCACTATAAACCCTCCGTTAGAGGCAGGGTGTCAATCACTTCATGCCGATAGTCTGGGTGCAGTTCAGTTATTTGTCCTGAGACTCAAAACTCGTAACAAAATATTTACTTTGGTTCACTCACTGCAGCAGCCAGAAAGCCATCTGGGACTGCTCAGCATCTTCTCCAGCATTCCTTTTTGAAGTGGAAGTTGGACTTCAACATGGGCTAACCCCTGACCTTGGGTTGGTTTGAAAAACATGGCCGGAGATGAGTTAGTTTGAAAAGTGATCGGTGCATATGTTTTGCAACAATGCTGCAAAGCGCTTAATGTGGGTTCTAGTTCATGCTGTCAATTACAATACAGGTATAGAGTGGTTATTAAAATGTATCACCAATTTCCTTCAGACTAAAGGAATCTGCACTGGAAACATCTCAAACAATACAATGTACAGGACTGCAGTAATGAAAGGCGTGGGTAGTCATATTGAGTTCCACAGCAGCCCCCACCCTACTGGTACCCGAAGGTCAGTCGTTTGAGGAGTATACATTAGTCAGGCATTTGTCTCACCAGCCCCTGTGCTAACAGGAGACTGTTTGTCTAATTTGTTATTTGACAAATCAGCAGCAAAGGAAACAAACTAAAAGTGACAAAGGTTCCAAATACCAACAAAATGAAGCCTGCTGCTTTCCCCCCATTGCAGGGGTGTCAGAACAGGGAGTGATCCCATGCTGCACTGAGGGTAAAAAAGGCAGGTCAAGACTGGCACAGTCTCTTGTAGGGAAGAGAAGGGACTCAGACACCCCATCCAAATCTGTAATGTAATACTATGTAGCCCCAGAGGCTGTGCTTTTTCTGTTAGCCCTGCTTACAGATAGGACTACAAGATCTTAGTTACCATATGTGAGGCAGGTGATTTATCTCCCATAATGCCAACTGGGCCTCCCCACATCAAATCAAGGCAGATGAACGAGAAATGATTCACACTGAACTGTTCAATACACACTGGACAGGAGTGTCACAAATGAACAGTACTACCAGCTCACAATATTTGTTGCTCTTAAAGCTGCACCTTGGAATTGGAAACATCTCAGCTTTCATTTAAAAAAATAAGTTTCTACCCTCTTGGTTGTGAAGAAAAGCATGAAAACATGAACCTTACAGGCTCAAAGAAGAGAAGGCAAAGATATTTTAAATACAGTTTAGGTTCTCATGTTTTTTTAATGCTAGGGTTCACAATACGGGAAGATCCAAACCCCTCAACTGTTCATAGATTTGGAAATGAAGTCTTCATTGAGAGCTTTGCATAGGGTCCACAAAACAGCACAATGTCTCTAACACTTATTCCAACCAGCATACAATGGAAGGACGAAGTGAGAGACTGATTCCTTAGAGGGTCCGTTAGATTTCATCTCAGCACAGAACAGTCTCCACACAAAGATCACAAACAGCAATGAAACAGGTGGTCAAATTCCAGGTCACTTCTAGTATACTGGGGCGATTCAGCCATATGCATTTAGCTAAAATGCTTTGTTGGGTCATTGCAGTCATCCTTCTCAGCTTTACACAATCCCTTTGTTACAAAAATATTTTCACGGATTTTTCTCATTACAGATAAAAACAAATACAGGCCAAATAAAGTGAAACATTCATGTGACTCTTCCAGTAAGACAGAGAACCCTGCTGGATTAGATACAAGGCTGACTCAGTGGGCCAAATTCAGCTCTGGGGTAAGAGATGCAATTCCCATTGATTTTTATGCAGGCAGAGCCTTATGCCAGGTCCGAGTTTTATCCAATACGTGTTTTGCAAAGCATCACATAAAACTCATGCACTGATCCAATTTGCTTCACTGCTGAACACTTTGGTATCACAGGAATTACTCAGGGTGATGCCAATTCCAGGACTAGATTGAAAAGCAGGTCAGTTGGAGAAAACTATCTAAGAGAGGAGACAAGAAGATACCAAACAACCCAAGCTGCCCACCCCTTTACAGCTGACGATACACTAAACTGGAACACTGGTCTTTAAACCACTGGAAAAGAGCCTACGGTCAGGATTAAAAATAGGACCACACTTCTCCCTGAGAGGAGGACAGAAATTCTCTTACTGTAAAGGAGATGCCGAGTGCAGATCCCCTTCCCTTCTCCAGCCCCCAAATCCTGTGAAAGAAGAAGTTATCTGAAGGCAGCCAGGGTGGGGTTAGAGACACTTTTGGTTGCAAGTAGATTGATAAAAGCACTTTACAGGTGAGAGGTCAGCAACTCAGTGAACCTGAATTCCATTTCCGCAAGCTCAGATGCCCAAGCCATGGAGGCAAGGCATGAATGTGCAGCGTATACGAGAATAAGCAGCTTTACTCTGAATGGCTCATCTGTGTTTGGTGAATCTCCAGGGCCGAATTCAGCTGTCCATTCTCATTATGGCCTCTAGTTCCCAGAAGTGGGCACTTGTAGCCAACAGCTCACCAACAGTCACGTAACTGACAGTTCCTCAAGTTCTCCTGTGCTAGGGAAGGTTTGAAGTTCTAGTAGTTGAAGATTTGTAAAGCAATCATCTCACCAACACTCCCCCACCCTATGAAACCTCCTCATATTTGCCACCAACCTGATGGAGCTGCTGCTGCAGGTCACGATTTTCTGTCACTATTGCCACCTGAGCTTCCAGGTCCCGATGAACCGACCTGTACCCAAAATTAGGAGAGCCAATCAGAGTCAGGCAGGGTAGACTGCTTCCTGCCAAGTACAGCCAGAGGCCTGCAGGAAAAGAGGGGGAAAGGAAATATGGCAGACAAGGGAAGTGACCATGGTAGCCTCCAACACTTGCTCTTATTCAATGATTTTCATTTCTTTTAAAAGCTTTACTAGATTTACAGGAATGGCAAGTAGTCATGACACAAAGCAAGCGGACAGGAAACAGAGATGCTTCCTTATGGACAGCTTAGCCTTGCGGAGCCCTGGAGAGCCCTCTGCCACGGCTGGCTCTGGCTCTCTACACTTGTTACTGTGTGTGCTCTGGGGGACAACGTGGCTTTGGCACTCTGAGGGGGGTCTCATCGGCGACTCTCCCAAGGGTAACCACTATCAGTTTGACAAGCCCAATACACTGTACCCAGCAGCTCTACCCGTGAAGACTCCAAACAGAACCCTAAATGGCTAGTATCCAGTAAAGAAAGGCCACACAGGAAATACCTTGGAGAGATGTGTCTGCAGCATTCTCTTCAGTGACTGGAAAGAGAGCTCTTGATCCCCTGGGCCCTGGAGATCTGCACAGCAATCCTGACTCAGTTTCCATTCCTCCCCCCCCCAACACAGACAGATATTCTGGAAACATGGCTATTTCAATGCTCCCCTAGAGAGAGATCACATCTGAACAGCAACATGCAACCCAAAAATCTGTCCATCTACAAAACAATCATCCTTAATGCTGCCCCTCCCACCTTCTAGCAGATCTGCCCTCTTGAAACAGAGGACTATGCAGCATATTCTGCGCCGGGTCATCCGCCCCCAAGCCTGCACTGAGGGGCTGTTCCTCCCTGCGTGGAGCCAAAGGCCCACTGCACTGGCAGCAACAGGACTAAGCGCCATTCTGGACCTCACCCCTGTGATATTTTTACACTTCTGTTTCTCCTTACTACAGGTGGGAGTGAGCAGCTCCCTTATCGTATCTCTCAACTGCCAGTAGCTCGTGTGCAAGGGAAATTGGCTCAGTGCATCACTATCTAAAGGTAACATCGTGCACTGTGGTAATCAGGTCACTGGTGTCAGCTGTTATGAAAGGGTTTGAATAACATCCCTCCAATTTCTCTAAGTAAGCAGCAGATACCCTGGCAAAGAACAGCCTCATCTTTAGCACGAGCTCTTTTCTCTCTCAGACTTTTCCCGGGTTTTTGTGGTTGGGAAGTTCTGTAACTTTTTCATTGGAGTTCTCCACAAACTTTGAATGGAATCAGTGCATGTGTGCAGACGGCCTTGCCTTTTCTCTGAAGCTTATAATGGCTTTCGGACCTTCTCCACCAGGCAAGAAAAAAAACACCCCATACCATAGCAGGGGCACAAGCCCAATTTCACCCCCCACCCCCAGGTTACATCTAAAAACCTCCTGGACTGAGAGCTAGTAAGTCACATTACCCAGTCCTGAGGGCAGAGTCTGCAAGAGATGGCACCATGAAGACTCTGAACAATGGCATTGGCTGGCTCTGGCCAGTGAATTCCTACAAGATTGTTACCAATAGGGCAGGTACAAATGATTGCATCCACTCTTTCCCTTGAACATCACCAGAGGGTAAATTAAACTGCTCCTATTTATAGCACAGCACACTCCAATTTCCTGGGACTCCCAGTCTCCAAACAAAGATACTGGAGAGCTCCTCTTCATTCTTCCAACTCTAGTCACAAGAGAAACATACCCTAAAGTCCCAGGGAAACCCAAACCCTGCCAGATATAAACGGAATTAGGGTCTGGTGTCATGCAACCAGGAAGGCAGTTCACAAGCCCAGGCCTGGTTCTCAGGCACGTCACAGCGTTTGTAAGATGGAGGGTGGAAGAGCGCCCAGAGGTGCTACTAAGCTATGGCTGAAGGGAGCCTGACGGGCCACTTGCTGGACAGAAGCTGATGTAAGGGAACTGCTTGCTCTCTGCTAAGCAGGGCACATGTGAGTCCTAACAACAGAGGCATTTTCCCAGCCCACAAGTCACACACAGAACACAGCAGAGAAGCTATAGCTTAAAAACCACCTAGTCCCTGAATAGACGCAGGTTTCCTAATTCAGACCAAGAGCACTTCCAAGAATGCCTTGAGTAAGAGGCTGCCGATTCACCGCCTGTTCCTGTAACACACGCCCCACCCCCACAGCACCACAAAGCCAGCCGCCTCCCCAGGGCCACTTTCAGTTACACCTTCCAGTTCAAGAATGGCAGCTGCCCATACCACAGCCTGATTGGAGGCTGCTCCCCAAGCCGACCACACCCACTGGGCCTGGGAGGAATTTCTGGACACTGTCCACACAGGGAGCCCCTGAAATCCACAGAAACACATGAGCTGTGCAGAGATCCAGCACGTCCCACAATCATTTTTGATTTACTAGAGCAGATTCCCAGATAGGGCCGGTCTGGTAACAGCACATATGGGATCCAGAGCTGGGGTTGGGGCAAAAACTTGATGGCAGGAACCCACCTGCCAAACTGGGGTCGTGATTAAAGGGAGAATCTAGTCACCTCCCTCTCTCATGTAGCCAAGGGAGGGAACCCTGCAGCCCTTGTTGTGGCCTTGGCTTTGTGACTGTGCCAGGAGGAGATTGCTCACACAATGACTCACTTTTCCAGGAGAGGAAAGGCAGAGTTTTCCAGCCCTCTGGCAATAAAGCACCTTCATCTAGGTCCCAAAGGACACACACCTGATCACCTGACACTGAAGCAGGAGACGACAGCTCCTCATCTCACCAGGTCAGGAACTGCCACCACTGCGTGTTTGCACTCAGGCACGGGCCATGGAAATCTCCTTAGGTACAAAACTGACATTTCCCATGCACACTGGCGCTGCAACTGTGCAAGCTATAAGAGCACTCAGCCTTACTCAGGGCAAGTTCAGTCACAGCCGCAGTGGGAAAGCTTGTGCAACATTGTCTGTATGGACACCAAGTGTTTAACCGGGGCTTGCCCGGCCGAAACACAGTAGCATAGAAGTGCCAGGTCCTATAAGAGATTAAAGGGTGCCTTCCTCTGAAGACAGTCAAAGGAAGTAAGATGTCCAGCTGCTGCTGAGAAGCAGGGAGAATTGGGGTTGATCCCACACCCTGTTCCAAGACCCAAACTCTAAGCTTGATTATTTCAAACTCTGCCTCTGAGGTCCCCTCCTGCTTCTCCTCTTTCAGCCCACTCTCAGTCCTGAGCATCATTCTGCTGCCTAGGGTCACAGTAGAACAAGTCAGGTGAATCACACATCAGCCAAAGGGTGAACCATACCAGAAATGGGGACTGGAGACGGCCCCTCTAGCACCCAGAAGGGAAAACAAGATCTAAATGGCTGACACGCCACGTTTCTTCAGGTTTACATCTTCCCCAGCACTGATCCTGCTGAAGCTCAAGAGACTCCTTTGCTCCTGCGCATATGATAACATAACAAATCGACCTCTAAGCCCAGGTGCTTGGAAAGGCTTTGGCTTCTTTCTAAGAAGGCAAATCCCATGTGGTAAAGAACTGCTCCACAGGAACATTTCGGTTCCTTGGAAAAGCAATGCATTCCTTCCTAGCTCACCACTCCATGCCTGCCCTGGGGAATCTCACTTGCAGACTTGCATTGTCCAGCGGCATGAGTATTCCATAGACACCTGAGCAGGTCATTCCTGGACATCAAAACACCCAGTCAAGCAGGCTCAGGTTCTTCTGAACGGATACATCTAGTCTAGGACCATCTGTAAGCATTCTACAAGCAGTGTAAGCTGTGGCATAGGTATTGCATACACAGGTTAGAGGACCTGCTGCTAAAAAGGTCTGCAGCTGTCTCCACTAATGCTCTCAGCACTGGTAGCACAGATATGGAAAAACACACATTTCTTAGTCAAGAGAAGGCTTTAGTCAGCAGCTTCCTCTCCCATCACCTCTGAACCCTCTTCCGAGCAGCCCTGCAGGAACCAGGGTAGATAGTGGCATTCCCACAATCATTAACAGCCAGTGTCTTCAGACAGGCAGACATCCTCCAAAAACTGCAGGCCCTGGCCTTTGGGACGTGGTGTTACTGGTTCAAGGGACTAACTGCACCGTTCCACTGTTCTAATTGGATTTATGCTGCAGACAATGTGCAGGCCCCTCAGCAGAGTGCAAAACTGAGTCTTGAAACAAACATGAACACCGCTAGATCTTGCATGCAATGACCCTGTAGTTGTCTCGAGGGGAGGGTGCCCCACCACATGACCTGGCAAAACTCCCAGCTCTACTTGAGGAGGACTGGAATAGCAGCGGGTGCTGTGGATTGGGGTTGAAGGCCATCAGCAGAGCTGAGTGAAACCAAGGACTCGAATAGCAGGAATATCAAAGATTTCCTGTGTGACCATGGCTTAATCTCTCTGGGCCTATATTCCCCATGTGCAAGATGGATAGAATACTTTCCTACATCACAGGGATGCTGCAAAGATAAGTCGTGAATATTTGTGAGGTCAGATGCTATGGGATAGAGCTGTATAATAACCTAGAGAGACAGAAAAGCTGTTTGCAAAGAGGTGAGCTCAACTCCACACACAGCAGTCCTACGTACCAAAGCACACAACAATTAAAGAGACTTCCTACCGACACTCAACTATGAAAACCACTCATGAATTGCAAACAATTTACAACTACGGATGTACAACTACTTGGAGAGCAGGAGATTATGGGTCTCACTGCTCTGGCAGGAGACTACAGAGGAGCTGAAGAAAGTGAGGAATTTATGCCCCAATCTGAGCAGTGTTGGATTTGTGGGAATTGGACATGCCCGCAGCTACCAACTACTGCTCAGAAAAGTTCTGTAGCCACACGGGTTGGCACATGACTCCTTGCAGCGGAACTGTGGAAGCAATCTCTTAGGGACTCCCTTTAAGAGATCACATGTATTTGCCTACTCATCTCTACTTATTCTGCCATGCTGGTCTCTGTGTGCTGAACTCTCTTGTACAGCAGAGGGAGATGCTTCTATGTATATCCAGCCCTCCGTTAGGTTTGTAAAGATGGTCAGGGACCCATCCTCATGGGGGCCTAGATACCCCAGAACATTGGAATCACTGCTGGCTCACTGTGACTCCTGTTTACACTGAAGATCCTGCCAATTTCCTGCACTCCAATCCCTTTCACATCCTTACAACAAGACTAATTGCATCACTTCCTGTTCTGTAAACCGGTTAGATCAGTGCAACAGGAAACTGAGAAACTATGAATCAGAACTGCTATCACTGTCATGAGTAGAACCAGATGCCTCTTCTCCCCCACCAAGTGTAGTCTGAACCACTCTCTTCCCCCCCCACCTACATGTCTGAGAGAGGTAAAGTAATTTTGTAATTTAATACAGTGCACGATTTCCCTACACCATGATTCCTCTACCCTAAACTTCTATGAAGAGGCCAGCTCAAAGGAGCAGGGAGCTCAGTCCATCCTTGACTTTTACTCAAAGTGCAAATAATTAAGAACTGTTAAATAATGCATCTGAAGAAGTGAGGCTCTTACCCACGAAAGCGTATGCTCCCAATACTTCTGTTAGTCTTAAAGGTGCCACAGGACCCTCTGTTGCTTGTTAAATAATAATTGCTTCTAGTCACTACTGACTTGGGACTGGACTGGAACTGAACCAGAATCCTAGAGATGAGAGACCAATTTCCATCCTCAGTCCCCTGAACCATCCAGATGTATGCATGTTTTGGACCTAGTATATTGTGACAGGGACATATGGCTTAGAACTGGATGAAGCCCCCACCCAGCCTCTCACTGGCCTGATGCTCTGTATCTATGCTAACCTTCAATCTCTCTACAGAAGGCCTCCTAAGGACAGGCTGTCTCACCTTTAGCGTGGAAAGTCCATCCATTCCTGGAGTACTCCTGCAGTTGGACCCTGTCTTGCTGGCCAAGGCAGCACACCTCGTTGTAAAACTGATGTGCAATGTAAACATAGGCAGCAGGAATGGCACCTGCCACCCCTTTGGCACCAAAGAACCCATTCACCTCCGGTGAGGCCAGTAGAATCCGATACTCTGCTCTGGTGCCCAGAACGAGATCCATGTAGGCTTGCGTGAGGTTGAAGTAGCCAGTGGTGAGGTATATTCTGGCACCTCGCTCTGCCTCTGTCAGCAACGTCTCTGTGACTCTCTCATCTATTTGAATCCCAAAGGGTTTCATTTGAATTAGTGGATAAATCCAGGTGTCCGGTTCTGGTTTTTGGTCCCTTCCTGCATTAGGTTCTCGCTGGGGCAATAACGGATCTCCTTCTGATCGCCTTCCATGAAAAGTCTGCGTGTGGAGTTCTTGTCGTGTCCTGGCAGCGTTGATCACTTCCATTACTCTCCTATTTGCCACTTCACAATATGCCGTCTTGTCTCCTGAGTGAAAACAAGGAATGACTAACAGAAGATATAGAGCTGTGACACTCAGGCTGAGGCTTGCGAGCCACCAGTGGCTCTTTGAGGTGTCTCCCGCGGCTCTTTGCAGCACATGGTATTAAATCACTGTGTGATTTCATTATTAACCAACCTAAGTTATTAACCAATTGTAGCTGATAAAATAATAATGCTTGGTCAGTCATTTTGCTGTGAGAATAAAGAATAAAGTTTCTGTTGCCTCTCCAAGACCAAAATGTGGACATTAGCACAGCTAGGGCAGCACATGACAGAGGGAGAATAGTCACTTCATAGAGGGAAGACTTGAACATGGGCAGCACTTCATGCTCAGTGGGAAGTGAAAAGCCTCCAAGCAGGGCTGGGGCAGAATGGCTGTCCAGGAAAGCTCTGCACCACAACTGCCCTCTGAAGAGGACTGGAAGGTGCCAAAGGCAGCCTATATTCGCACAGTCTATTTGCACAGTCGGTTTAGTGGGGGAACCCTCAGGAACCAAGTGTCAGTGGAATTTCCAGATGGGGATTTTAGGCAAATGCCGGAGGGAACTAAGAGCCGCTCATTTACTTTTGTACAAAAGGTTCTCTGACCTGCAGAGTGCAGACACCAGCCCCATCTGCCCCACAGAACAGTACTCAACTGATGCCACCCTATTCTGCTCAGGTTCTTACACTGCACCCCTCACTGTGGTATCTGAGTGCTGGTAAAGTGCTGTTTACCAAGAGTGCAGTGCCAGATGCAGACCTGATACACCACCCACAACTTCACTGCAGAGCAGAACAATCCCTTGTGAATCAGACTGGGGCTTTCCTTAGGGACTGAAATTTGCTCCAGTCAAAGGATCACAGCAACTTTCTACTGTACTTTATAACAAAGGGATCTCCGGTCTCTTCTGCTGGGACTAGAACTGGGAAAACACACGTGTGCAGCCTTAACAAGCCTATGGTGGATCTGTGAATCTCATCGCAATTTGAACTGTGGGTTTGTGAAGGAGACACGTTTGTTCCACCTTCCTCTCCTGCTGAATCCCATTACTTAGAGCCTGTGATTTGACTCGGCAATTTTACCTGTCCTATGAGGAAATGCAAGAGTGCCCTCTACACCCCCACTGGATAGCACTGTCACCCATTACACGCGCTCACACCCAGAGGCCCAACCACATCATGTCATATGGATGAAGGCCTGACTACAGTATTTCAATGTGGCTCAATTCAAAGAGTCTCCCTTTGATTTCACTCAGTTCCCCATGTCTGGTATTCTCCACACTGTAGTGCCACAGAATAACATGCCCCTAAGCAGAAGGGCAGTTCCCAGATCTCCATGGGCTGGGGAAGAAACATTAAACAGCTGCAGACATGGCCTGTTCCTCTCTCAAGGGGAAGGTGACCCTTAGGTCACTTTCAGTGACCCCTGCTGCCCAGTTTAGGAACAGCAACGATAAGCATTAAGTTGACCTATCAAGCCATTGTGGAAGAGAACAGGGAGCTACAAAGTAAGGAGATGTGCATCCTTCGTTCAAGAGAGACCTTTCTTTTTCATCCTCCTTTGGTAGGTTTGGCCTATCTTCTACGTCACTGTGGGCAGGATGAGCTGAAAGCACCCTTTGCTACCACCGTTCTGGGAGCTACACACTACATTTAATATAGCTCTTTAACACTAACTATCGACTGAAGAATGCTCAGGCTTCTCTCTTGGGCTTAAAGATTAGTCCCAGACTCCTAGCAGGGACCAACCTGTAAAGCAAGCTGATGAAGGTTGACAGGGCCCAGAGGGTGTATACTTGCTCCAAACAACCAGCTCAAGTAGTAAAGTAATCTACACCCATTGGAAGCAAGTTTCCAAGTGTAAAAGAGCTGTGTCTAGGCAACTGGTCAGTGGGGTGTTAGGCCTGTGAACGATAAACACACTAAGGAGTCTTACTGTAAAAGACTATTTATCTGATTAGACACAGCAAATAAATATTTGCATGCTACCCACCAAAAAGAAGCTCCCAGCTAAAACCTGAGAAGGACTCGGTTCTTTATCAGGCATATTTGCCTCCAGGATTATTCCACACAAAATCAGCCTGCTGAAGGGTTGTCATTGCTCACTGGATCCACCTACTTCTATTACATTTAGCTTTGGAAGCACCACATCGGAATGTTACTGACATTTAAGACATCCTGCTGCCAGGAAGCAGCTTTGCTAGTCGGCAGTTCTTGAACTAGGCTTCCCCATGGAACATAGCAACAGTCCTGCGTGCCTTGTACTTGAGACCGACTTATGTTTAGTACTGCTTCCATAAGACACAGGGATCCAATGCTCTGAACAATGCACTATGCAATACGTATTCCTGTCCACAGCATAAGCTTTACCCACACACACCCTGTTACCAGAGTACCACATGTCATCTGAAATATTCTCCCCTCTTGTCTGCCCATTCCTCCACCATAGGGTCCCTGCCTCCTTCCAATTGGGCACTTATCTGAAAGCCAAGAACACATTTGAGCGCAAAATACTATTCACTGAAAACAGACTGGAGTCACACATATCCTGAGTGTATTTATAGGGAACTATATTAATATAGCTAAGAATCTTGGAAAGGATACGATCCCTCTTGCTTCAGGGCCTAAATCAATTACTAACTAGTGGGGTTAGGAAGAAACGCACCCTACGGGCTGGTTATTCTATAACTGACTTCTGCGGTTCCTTGCATCTTCCTCTGAAGCAGCTAGCACTGGCTGCTGTCAGAGACAAGATACTGGGCTAGACAGACCTCCAGGCAGATCCAGTCTGGCAATTCCTAGTAATCTTGGTTTGCAACAGGTGGGCTGAAGGGGATTCCCCACACCCAGCTAACCAACATCAAACCCTCAGTGATCCATAAAGTATTTGGAGTCAGACCCACCCCACTCATCTCTTCCCATTGTTATTCCCTCCTTCACCTGGACCATATCACCCTCATATTACAGGTCAGATGACTTTATCATACCTTGGTAAGGATGCACCATCCCCTCCATCATCTGGACTGTATCATCTGGCTGTAACTGCAGTGACACATCTCCAATTGCATCCACTAGTTCAGTGAAGAAATCGGCGATCTCCGAAGAGTCCTGTAGGAACACATAGCGGTCCTGCCGATTGGTGAAGTACGAGTCACTCAAGTTTGCGCTGGGGGAGGGGAGGAGAGGAAGGTAAGAATGCCAGGATAAAGAGAACAACCACATGATCCTCATCACGTATCTCATTGCACAGGCCTAGATACAGCTGAAGAATTACAATACAAAATGCCCTGATTTCGCTTTTTAAAGAACATTCCCCAACAAGAGTGATATTTATTTTTTGTATTATCCTAGCACCTAGGAGCCCTATTCATTGACCTGGACACCATTGCACTAGGCACTGTACAAACACAGAACAGGATGACTGGCCCAAACAACTTACAATGCACTCCCTAACTTGGTGCAGCTAATGTGGAAGAGAGCCACAAAAGCAAGATGCAAAGAGGTTTCCCTCTGAATCCTGGGACAGTTGCAACACCATAGCGCTCACTAAGGTACAAGCAGGTTCCAAATGAAAACAATGCTATCAGCATGCGTCTCAAGACCATTTTCAGCTCTAACAGTGCTGCTTCTTTACCACATCCCTGACTGGACCGCTCTCTGTAACTCTAGTCAGGATGACAGGAATTCCCCCTCACCCAAATGCGGCACAAAATACTTATAAGGATGGACAGAGCCAGGACTCACCCACTCAGGATCACGTTATCATCAAAGAGGTAAACCTTGATGTGCTGCAGCCCGATGGTTTCGTTGAAACGCTCAGGGATTAAGCGTTTGAGAAGCCCACGCAGATTTGGAGTGTGGAAGAGGGATACACGGACTTGCTCTGGAAACCTTCTCAGCAGTGGAAGTAACATGGTTCGAGAGTTCTTCCTGCCTGTGAGACAGATGGGAATAGTTATACATGGAGCCACTTTTCTACCACACCACCAGATCTGCCAGACAGGACCCCAACAAGAGGGCAAAATAGACACACACACCCCCCCCAGCTGGAAGCTGCCTTCCCTAGGATCTGTTGCTTTATTTGCTTGACATTTTGAGAGGGTTTCTTGTTTTAAGAGAGGATTTATTTGCATTTTATATTAATGTTATCATGATGTAACCAGCATTCCAAGGCCACTGGTGGGTGGGCTTTATAAACTACTTAACAGGATGATCACATTCATGCTTCTTCCCCTGGCTACATGTAACAGTAACTGAACTGGAGTGGGGATTTACAGCACCACCACTTCTGCCAACTCCAACCCTCCTTTACAAGGTGAAGGAGCAGAAGGGGAGGGGGGGGAGAGGAGGGGAGCAAATGCCACTGACAGGAACTGGCTTTGGTGGGGCTGCTTGGATGTAACTGAGGGCAGGATTTGACTCAGCTAGTTTAACGTTCCTGTCATTTATTTTCTGAAGCAATACTACCATCTTGGAAAGTTACCTGAGAATACAAAGCGACTGTATTTTGATGACCTGTGGTTCATAGCAAAACAGAGCTGGTTTTAGAAGAGGGCAGATTTTAAACCTTTGGGTCTGATAAGCTATTTTTTAGAGCGAGGACCTCCAAGCTCATCTGACCAATCCAGTTTGCTTGCTGTCAAAGAGCCTTTGAAGTGGGCAGGAGGGACACCCCATAATACCTACCTCGAGATCCCCTTGTGAAATCTAGGAGAATGGAAACTCTGAAGTCAGAGGGCCCACTTGCCTGCAGTGACCTCTCCAGTGTTTCTTCTATGCAATCCACCTGAGGGGAAAGAGTCACACTGCACATTACACAGAGAAAGTGAAACTTCCCAGTGATCAATCTTTCGGATTTAGACCTAACCTCTTTGGGGCAGCGACCCTGCCTCTTTTTTAATATATCAAGCACTAACAACATCTCGGGCATCAAAAACAACAAGGGTATAGATTTTGTCTGCACACAAAGCCATGATTCAAGCCTCTGAACTCCAGTTATGCACAGCAGAGAGTCCAACCTCACTCCTAGATCAGAGACTTCCACTGCCATCCAAAAGGGGAGGGAGCAGTTCCCATGAGCTGCAGAACTTGTTCTGCTCCTATTATGAGCAAATTAAAGTCCTGTGTACAAGTCTTAAATCAGTTACAGATCCACAGAGGAAGCCAAACAAATCAACATCCAAGACAATCTGCCCACCTGCTGGACTTGTCCTCATAGTGGGAATTTGTAGTTCAAGCTACAGAATAATTTCAGGGCTCAAGATTTCTGCTCAAAGCTCTTTGTAGAGAAAAGCCTTGTTTCCAGTAGGACAAGACAGGGAGCAGAGAAGGTAAAGCAACATGAGGCAAAACAGTGACCTCCCCCTTGCTACGACAGGCTGACAAGAAGTTGTATGCATACAGATCACACTCATTGCACCTGCATGCAGTACACAGGGGCCACAATACAGACTACCACATTAGCATCACTAAAACTACTTCCACTCTTTTGAAGGCAAGTGCTAATGTGTGGGTACCAGCAACCCTACAGTAGGAGAAAATCTGCAGAAACTGTGCCAATAACTTTTAACCCCATTTTGGGCCCCACACTACAAGAAGGATGTGGAAATATTGGAAAGAGTCCAGCGGAGGGCAACAAAAATGATTAGGGGTCTGAAGCACATGAGTTATGAGGAGCGGCTGAGGGAACTGGGATTGTTTAGTCTCCAGAAGAGAAAAATGAGGGGGGATTTGATAGCTGCTTTCAACTACCCGAAGGGAGGTTCCAAAGAGGATGGAGCTCAGCTGTTCTCAGTGGTGGCAGATGACAGAACAAGGAGCAATGGTCTCAAGTTGCAGTGGGGGAGGTCTAGGCTGGATATTAGGAAACACTATTTCACTAGGAGGGTGGTGAAGCACTGGAATGCGTTACCTAGGGAGGTGGTGGAATCTCCTTCCTTGGAGGTTTTTAAGGCCCGGCTTGACAAAGCCCTGGCTGGGATGATTTAGTTGGGGATTGGTCCTGCTTTGAGCAGGGGGTTGGACTAGATACCTCCTGAGGTCCCTTCCAACCCTGATATTCTATGATTCTATGATTCTACCCATCCAGATTCGTGGCATGTGTGACAGTTCCTTAGATCAGTAATAGGTTTACACCACATGGTCCCTGAGCCTGTCCTTCAAGTGCCCTTTCTGCATGCCAAGCCTATGTGCAGCCTGAAGCCATGCTGAAAGGCTCCCAAGCGAGAGGACGGAAGCATAGGGAAAGTCTGAATCCAGGTGCTCAGATGGACACCCCATTCCAGCTAGAGCAAAGGTGAATGCACGGGGCACCTACCCAAGTAGGTATTTTTTCAAGCCTCCATCCACACTTACCAGCTCCTGTTCTAGGAGTCCTGTTCCAAGGTACAGCGAAGCCACCACCACTCGCTGCTTGGCTGCCTTTATCTGTTCCTGAGGACAGTGAAAGAGGAAAACAAGTGCACGTTCACAGGCTGAGCTGCGATTTCATAAACACTCTTGGTTCTACAGAGAACACCAAATCCCTTTCGTAGCCCTGTCAGCTACAGAATTAAGCCACAGACAAGCAGCAGAGGTTCACAATGGGACACATTTAACTTCAACCAGTTTAGAGGGGTTTGACTTTCCCTCCTTCAGTGTTACCCAAGTATTTATTTTTATTCTCCAATTCATAAAGGCACCAATTGCTAAGTGTCAAAACAAGAATGTGTGAAAAATAGGCTCTTCCCCATCTGCAAACCCCAACCCCAAACTACCTCACTCAGGTGAAAGTCTGAGAAGGTCATCACAGGTTCTGTCAGACAAACAGGAACATTCTAGCAAGGATATTATACACCTCCCGCCCACAGACATCCATACAGGACAGCAGTTCTCAAACTGTGAGTCAGGACCCCAAGGTGGATAGCAACCCCATTTTAATGGGGTCACCAGGGCTTGCGTTAGACTTGCTGGGGCCCAGAGCTGAAGCCAAGGTCCGAGTCCCACTCCCTGGGACAGAAGTCCATGGGCTTCTTTGGCTTCAGCCCTGGGTGATAGGACTCAGGCTACAGGTCCCCCGCCCAAGACTGAAGCCCTTGGACTTCAGCTTTGGTCCCCCCTCCCCCCGGAGCAGCAGGGCTCGGACGGCCTCAGGGTTCTGTCCCCACTTCTGGGGTCGTGTAGTAGTTTTTGTTGTCAGAAAGGAGTCACAGTGCAATGATATTTGAGAACCCCTGATTTAGGGACTCTTCAGGAAAGCCCTCACTCAGTGCAGTGGGGAAATGCAAGGAGAAAGGCAGGTCTTGGGCGGCCAGGATGCAAATCACGTAGGGGCTTTATAGAGCAATTTCAACACCTTTACATCCACATTCCCATCCAGAAATAAGCAGGAAATCAATGCAGCCTCCGGAAAAGTGGGTAACTTGCTCCCTGGAGCTACCACCAATAAGCATTCAGGGCACAGGAGGCACTCTGCACCACCTGAAACTTCAACAGAGCGAGGCTTTTTCCTTCTGGGGTCATTTTAACTCCCTTGATTCCTATCCTAGTGCTTTGTTTCTGGCCAAGAGGGCAAGATTCATGTCTTCCCCAGGATTCAATGCTGCTGCATTCCTTGGCCAGGACCAGCCAGTGAGCTTGATATTCCTGTCTCCTCCCCTTCAAGGGCTCAAGTTTCCATCCTGCCCAGAGACTGAGCCTCCATGCCTCTGGGCATCAGAGTTTCTAACCTGCCCGTCAGTGTTCCCCTAGACCCCGCCCCAGCCCCGTCCCCGCTCCACCCCTGCTTCTTCCCACTCCCACCCTGCCTCTTCCCGGTCCGCATCTTCCCACCCAGTTCTGCCCCTCTCCTGAGTGCACTGTGCCCTCGCTCCTCCCCCCCAGCACCTCCTGATGCCACGAAACAGCTCATTTGCGGCAAGCACTGGGGGTGGGTGCTGATCCGTGGGGCCGCAGGTGGGCAGAAGGTGCTGGGGGGAGGAAGAGCACCCACCATTTTTTCCCGTGGGTTCTCCACCCACAGAGTCAGCGCCTCTGCCTCTGGGTGCTTTCACTTGTCCCACACAGAGGTTAAATGTGGCATTTGCCAGTAGCATCTCTCCTCCAGCACTGACTTTACAAAGGAAGGCCTGTCTGTGGAAGCTCCTGGAGGTCCTACCGACTCATTCATCGATCTGGCCAATCCTGTTCCCCAATAACTTACAAGTCATAAGGCAATCCTAACACTGTCATTTTAAGAACTCCGCATCCCTACATTTGAGAATTTCTGAAATGTAGGGTTGCTAATTTTAACAGTGACAAGATCCAAACAATCAAACTCAGCAAGGAAATTCTCATACCAGCCCTGTTGCATGTCTGAGGAGAGATACATTATGGAACCTGCATACCAGCCACATTAACAGCTGCGCCCGCCTCCCCACATGCATGCTGGAAGCACACAACTCACCTTCATGAGCTCATAGAATTCAGTTGGGGAGGAGAGCACCTGGATGTGAGAGCTGGAGACCCCAAACTCTGGAACCAGGTTCCTGATCCACTGGAACCTGTGCGCCCCCTCAGGACAAACGCAGAACGATGGGGCTGTGACCTGAGGAACCGCAGGGGTGAGCAATGGGGCCACCAGCAGCCACGATGATCTGGCAAAGGAAAGACAGACTGAGGAATTCTGCATGATGGAATTGCAGTTCCTACAAACGCCGTCCAGGTACATGAGCAAAAGGTGCATCAGGCGAGGTCTTTCCAGTAGAGACCGAGAATTGTTAGTGCCATTATACAAGGCACTGGTGAGACCTCATCTGGAATACTATGTGCGGTCCTACATGTTTAAGAAAGATTATTTCAAACTGCAACAGGTGCAGAGAAGAGCTACTAGAGTGATCCGAGGAATGGAAAACCTACCTTAGGAGAGGAGACTCAAAGACCTTGGCTTGTTTAGCCTAACCAAACAAAGGCTGAGGGGAGAGCTGATCGCTCTCTATAAATACATCAGAAGGATAAATACCAGGGAGGGAGAGGAGTTACTTAATTCAAACGCCAATATGGACACAAGAACAAACGGACAGAAACTGGCCATCAACAAGTTCAGGCTTGAAATTATACGAAGGTTTCTAACCATCAGAGGAGTGAGCTCTGGAACAGACTTCCAACAGGAGCAGTGGGGGGCAAAAAATCTAACTGGTTTCAAGCTTGATAAATTTATGGAGGGGTTGGTATGATAAGACTGCCTACAATAGCATATAGCCAATCTGCGACTGCTAGCAGCAAATATCCCCAAAGGCTGGTGATGGAACACTAGATGGGGAGGACTCCGAGTTACTACAGAGAATTCCTTCTCAGGGGTATGGCTGGTTGGTCTTGCCCACATGCTCAAGGTCTAACTGATCGCCATATTTGGAGTCGGGAAGGAATTTCCCCTCAGGCCAGATTAGCAGAGACCCTCAGGGGTTTTCACCTTCCGTCTGTAGCATGGGGCATGGGTCACTTGCCGGTTTAAACTATGTAAATGGTGGATTCTCAGTAACTTGAAGTCTTTAAATCATGATTTGAGGACATCAGTAACTCAGCAAGAGGTTCGGGGTCTATTACAGGAGGGGTGGGTGAGGTTCTGTGGCCTGCGATGTGCAGGATGTCAGCCTAGATGATCATGATGGTCCCTTCTGGCCTTAAAGTCTGTAAGTCTATGCAAGTGGGCCTGCAGCATTACACATCTCAGGGATGTTAAGACTGCCTTTCACCTCTGTCTGTCACAGCAGGATCACCAGAGCTACATGTGGAAGGAAACTACGAGCAAAAGAGAGGAAGGCAGACCTGAATATCAGTGACTCCCCTGGATTCCACAAAGGGAGAGGCTCCCTGAGGGGCAGCAGAGCAGACATGCAAAGAGAGGAAGAAAGACAATGAATGGCACTGAGAGCAGAAAGAGACACTTAGCCGTCGGCAACCTTTCAGAAGTGCTGTGCCGAGTCTTCATTTATTCACTCTAATTTAAGGTTTCGCGTGCCAGTAATACATTTTAACATTTTTAGAAGGTCTCTTTCTACAAGTCTATAATATATAACCAAACTATTGTTGTATGCAAAGTAAATAAGGTTTTTAAAATGTTTAAGAAGCTTCCTTTAAAATTAAATTAAAATGCAGAGCCCCTCAGAACGGTGGCCAGGACCCGGGCAGTGTGAGTGCCACTGAAAATCAGCTTGCGTGCCGCCTTTGGCACGTGTGCCATAGGTTGCCTACCCCTGCACTAGAGGAACAAATGGAGGACGCTAACTCCTAGGATTCCCCATTCTAACTCAGCTTTCCAAAGGCTCTCTGCCAACTCTGGGACAAATCACTCCTCCTCATTGCCTTTACTACACAAACATCAGCTTCACTGTGGCCAAACGCTGTTTTCCGTTCTGTTATAGCCACTCTGATTTGTGTCATCCCCCCCCCACACACACACACATACACACACTTCTTATAATCCAATCCAAGAGCTTTATAACCACTTTCACAACTATGTGCGGCCTTTAAGACACATTTTTGAATCCACATTTTTAATAAACCAAGTACTTTAGGACTGATCCAGAACAAAATGTATAACACCCAAAGCACCCAACACCAGTCCTAGCAAAGCCACTGAATGCATAATGCTGCAAGCCAGAAACACCACAATCCAGGAACTCCCCTCACTGAAAAACCCAGAGAAAGCTGCCAAGTGCTGAAGTATGCCTCAGATAAAATATAAGAGCTGAAAACTGAATGGGAAGAAACTGCAGCTAACATACAGCGTCACAGAGAACATAAGGGATTGGAAGGAGGAAGTCACGGTTTCACTCACTGAAGCTACAAAGTGTAACTGGAAAATGAGTTGCAGGAAACACTTTTACAAAAAAGAAGTTTCAAAGAACAGTTCAAACTCCTCATATCTTTGAGGAATGGTTAGTCCCTCAGGGCCAACATGCAACCCTGTAATTTTGATCTGCCCTGACACACACTGTCATCTCATACAAAGAAAATCCTCTTGAGTATTACCAGAATTTTATGAGGAACTCCATATTACCACCATCCAAAGCCAAAATGACCACAGGTTCCAGGAAGATAAGATGATTTCACTTATTTACTTCATGATAAAACACTGAATCTTCACAAGGTTGCAAAAGCCTTTGCATAAAAGCCAGACAGTTTGCAGCGGCATTTCCCAAAAAATCCAACAGTTTGTCACTGCCTATTCATCTCAGTGGAGTCAGTTTGTACAAGAATTCCTAGCAGATCATGCAGACTGAACTTTAACTTAGCAGCCATGAACTGCAGTAATTTGATCTTGAAGAGGAATGGAAACCTTCCCCAAAGGAAAGACATTTTAAAGCACTTCCCTAGCCATTTCCAAAAGCAGCTCCCTATGTGAAATGCATTTTTAAGGGTTGTTTTTTTAAGTTATTCATCTGCATCCTACAGGAGCTGAGCAGCACCATGCAAGCACATGAAGGTCTTTGCTTACTATGTCCTGCAGCGTGACCTACACAGATACAGGCTGAGCAGAGACCCACTGTGATGGCAACAGACTTATCACTGAAGCCAGCTGGGAAATAGGAGGAATCAGGAAGCTTACACTGCCCAAGTTCACACTGGTATGCAGAAATGCTTCACACACACGTATAAGGCCTGGAGAGCCACAATGGAGACAGCACTACAAGCTACTCTTAAATCAGAAAGGCTTATTGACCCCTAGAATTATTCCATAGGAGGTGGTGGCAGCAAATTTTACATGCAACATGACAGCAACTAGCGAATCACACAATCGAGAATCAATATTTTCCTCATTAGACTGCTGGCCAAGCCTGACGCAAACTGCATTTCCCAAAATACATGACAACGGTCTAGAATCCAGTTTCAAAAGGAAATTTTTCAATAGCATTTTTGAGATTTCAAGGAAGTTGTTTCACTGCAGAAAGTCTGAAGACTGAAATTAAACTACGCTCCTCCATAAAAAACCCAGAACTAGGTATGGCTTAATAAATACTCTTCTGGAAATTCTTTGCCACTGTGGGAAAGATTTTACTTTATGCCAGGTTCTCTGTGTGTGTTGATAGGCATTGGTTGCCCTTTGTAATCTTCTTTGATGCCTCTAAGATTAAAAATAAAATGTGTAAGTACATCACTTGATCTCTGTAAGCCAGATTTGGTGTTTATAATTTGAGGTGGAGTCTACAGGATTTTATAAGTGGGGCTACAAAACCCTTCAAAGTGAATACAAATTTAGTGCTCGTCAACTGTAACTAACAGCAGTGTATGGAAGCAGATACCTATACCCAGACCACTGAAAATAGCTCAAGCAACTACCTGCGAATCATCCCAAAAACGTTCTGCCTATACAGCCATTGGAACTCTAAGTTAAGGAGAACCCACATTTCCAACAAACCGACAGTATCCAAGAACAGACGGAAAAAACTTTCAAGTCAGTCCACAAACAATGCCGATTTAATCTGAAAAAGAAACCAGAACTAGCAGAGGTAAAACTGAATCTTTTCTGCATAAAATCCATTCCCTATTTATAGATGGGAGTTTTTCTGGACATTCTATTTTTAAGAATTGTGGTTTTGTCATGCAGACTTATACATACTAGAGGGAACTCAGAAGCAACGATTCACTGTAAAACCTCAGCTACAGCACAGGAAATGAACTGAAACTGCAGAATCCAGCTCAGTCCTTTCACCCACACAGAAGTCACCACACAGTGGGATCTGTAAGTTGCTCTTGCCTTGAAATTCAGCACTTGGGTATATACAGTTTCTATAGAGCTTTAAGGGTCAATGGCTGAGTCTGAAAATTGATTTTGTGGTTAAAACGCTGATGCAGCCAACAGGCAGAGAAGCTTGAGAGCAACTTCTTTGAACTGCCAAGACCAAGCAGCAGTGTGATGCTAAACATATGGCCTGTTCTTTTCTTCCCAGACTCTTGCTCTCTCTGTTTTTAAGTCCACCGAGGAGAGAAGCAAGCCACACTCTCACTGGAGTCTATAAGGTCACTTCAGCATTCACAGGTCAGGCTGCTGCTCACCTCCTACCCACTAGAAAAGTATCAGTGAAAGAAGATGCCAGGCGACCAGGGAGGGTAAAGCAGCACACAGGTTGTAAAATGAAAAAAGTCATGTGTGCATTGGCTCATGCTGTGGAAGTTGTACTATTAGAAAAACAAAACACCACCATGAGATGCTTGTGAGAATTTTGTTAAGTGAAATGAAAGTTTCAATGATTCACAGGATAAGAAGATACCCCTCCCCAAACATAACTTACTATATTAAAAATACCAGCAATTAAGTAGACTAAATACAAGAAAGAGATGTGCACCCTTTTGCCCAGGAGACAACATGGAAAGTTAATACTGGAGTTGCTTTGCGAGCCAGATTTAATGCATCCAACCACTTTTTCAACAATTGATTCTTCATGGAAATTGGCAACAGAAATTGTGGCTTGGTTGCCACTTAAGAAATCTTTAAGTAAGTTTTAAGTATCAAGAGATGGCGAACAACGACTTCCTTATTCAAAAGCTGCCCCCATCTCTTGGCCAAGAGGTGGAGGCAACTTTTGAATAAGGAACTCATTGTTCACCATCTCTTGATAATAAATCTTTAAGTAAGTTTACTGTACCCAAGTGAATTGGTGAGAACAGAATAGTCAGAACATCTGTGGAGACAAGGTCAGATAGTTATGAGAATGTAACAAACTTCCTGTAATACGAGCAGCAGATGGTCTTTCCCAAATAATGCAAGACTCACAACTATCCAAGACAATTTAAAGACTTTAAAATTCTTGTACATTGCAAAAAGGCATCAGTAGCAGTTATTGCTAGTGTTGGCACTCAGTCTCCAACTGGATGGTGTAGGTATCTAATAGAAATACACTGGTGGAAAAGTAGCCAACTCACCAGTTACTACAAAACATGACACCACACGTTAAAAAAGCAAGAGTCTTCAGCAAGGTTCATTCTATCTGATGCCTCCATTTAGTGGATGAATGAAGGAAATGTAGCCTTCTGTCATGTACCTCTCATGGATGCCCCACACATCTTGTGTAAGTGACCAGCTGGTGAGTGTTACTGTTTAAACATATAATAACTACACTCCTATTGTACAAGTGCCAACATTTTTAGTGAGGAGCTTTTCCTGCCCCTGATATGCTAACTGCAGAGCATTATCAGCAGGAGATTTCTGCTAAAGTCAAAGTTCATCTGAACTTGAGAATAGCACAATATATGGTATTCTACAAGAATGTATGGCTGCAGAGCTTGGAATGTCAGTATGCAATCTGCCCAGAGTAAAGGGCAGCATGTGGCCATCTTATGCTCCAACACAAGAGAGCAAAAGGGTAGAGGATGAACCACAACATGGCTCTAAATCAGCAATCACTTCTTTATACTTAATTTAGATGCAAAAATGTTAAAGATAGAGACACAAAATGCTGTACCCAACTTCAGGGGAAATGAAAAAATTAAAGAAAACTGGATGCCTCCCTTCAAGATACGGATATGATTTGAGGATATAAGGAATGCTGATTTTTCTTAATATGAATAAGATTTGGAGACTGTGCATGGAATTATCCCAGATGAAATCTCAGAAAGCAGGGTAATAAGACGTACATGGTGCCAGAAAAAAGGTAATTGCTAAAGGGCTTTGTTTCAAAACCGTGCCATATACAGTGAGGCAGCTGGCCTATGCTCTGTAAATGCTGCATTTACAATTCCTCTCAGTAATAATTTATATCCTGAGACTTTGCATTCCCCGTTTTTGGGGGGGGGCGGGGGGAGAGGGGGGTGTCATTCAGTAACAGGAGGCTCCTCTGAAAACAGCAAGATCTCAAGAGATTGTGACAATGCAGAATCTTGCAGATTTGTCTTTGGATTGCCTGGAAGCTGTACAGTATTGTAACTTCTTTTAAAACTAAATATTTGCTCAAGAATCCAAACAAGATTCCAACCAAAATCAGGCATAAGCTTTCCTAAATTAAATTTCCTTTTCTTGATCTCTCCAGAGGAAGTCACCTTCCACAAGATTAGGCCAGTAGCTCTCAAATTGGGCTTCCTGGTGATCTGCCAAAGGAATGAATTTAATAATTGGGGGAATGGGCTGTTGCGAATGGAAGGCAAGTGTTACCAAGGAATCCACAGAATGAAAAAGAGTTGGAGATGCCATGGATTAGGCCAAACCTGGGAGTCCAAAAAGATCACTAAATTATTCTGCCCTACTCTAGAGGGATTTTTGTTAGCTAGGCGTAGATTTGGAATTTGAGATGATACTGAGTTTTTAGTCAAAAGACACTGCAAGAAGCTCCAGAGATGGTGAGCAGGAACACATGTGCCAGATAAAATAAACACTGATCTGTAGCCCAAAACAATCAGATCCTTTTAGAGTTTAAAAGAGATGTCATTCTTTTCCGATTACCCATTAGTTTGCATAATCACTCACGCTACAGATTTCTGTTTATTACTAGGGACAGCGAGCACCAGCAGTGTCACAACAAGGAATGGTCTCCTCAGGTTTCTGGACTACTCTGCACTCCAGAGCATCAGCTAATGCATCAAATACACTCAGTATCTGCACTTCTTTCTATTCAGATGCTATGATTTTGACACAGAAATGTTTCACAGCAGAGATGTGAGGAAAAAGAAATCAAGTCACAGAAAGGGCAGTGTTGGAGAGCAAGACCCCTGCCCCTGTCCCACAGGGCTGGGCCCGGCTCCTCGCTCTGGGTGTAGCAACCAGGCACGTGGGGTCAGAGCCGCTCAGGTGTGGCTGGTCTTCCCCTCCATAAACGGAGGCGGAAGGGTGGGCAAGGCGAAGCGGAGGGACAGTTGCTGCTCGGGTTGGGGGCCAATTCAAACGCGCTTTCACGGACAGTTCCACGAGTTCACAGACTTCGCTCGTATCCAGCTCTCCGTGACAAACCCGAGGCCTTGCTTAAAACGCGCCGTCCCCGTGGTCTCTGGGCACCTCAGACACGTCCCGCCCCCCGTCCCCATTGCCTACCCAACGCTGCCATGGGCTGCCCGCTCGTCCGCCCCGCCCCGCCGCGCCGCAGGAGCCGGCCCCACGTTCCCGCGCCCGGCGCCGGCCGGCTCGCAGCGCGGGCAGGGAACGGGAACGGGCCACCCTTACCTCCGGGAGCGCCGGTCCCGGCCGAGGGACAGCCGGTCCGAGAGGCGCCCAAGCAGCGCGGCCAGGCCCAGCCTCCCGTGAGGCAGCAGGCCCAAGAGCCGCCGCCACAACACGGGACCGCCGGCCGCCGCCATGGAGACTAGGCTACTTCCGCTTCCGGCCGCCGCCATGGAAACCTCGCTACTTCCGCTTCCGGCCGCCACGGGGCGAACAAGCCACCGCCTTCAAAAGCGAAAACTTTATTTGGGGCGCGAGGCACGGACACGGTCCCTCCTGCGCAGCTGGGCCCGGCCCGGACGCCTGGGTTCCGTTCCTAACCTGCCCCCCCCCCGACGCCCTGGGACCCCCGGGGGCACGGGCCTGCCGCTGCTGTGGGGCCCAGGGGCCGCCTGCCTCCGCATCCCCCGGGGGTGTCAGGGCGCGGCGGGCTGGGCAGGCTAGGCTGAGAGAGGGGCCCAGGCCACAGCACGTGGGGCAGGTCACACGAAGGAGAGGCCTGGGCAGGCAGCCCCTTCCACAGGCCCGTGGCTCAGCCTTGCAGGGCACCATGAACGCCGGGCCCGTGCTGCGCTCTGCCGGGTCCCCCAGCGGGGCCAGAGTCCTGCTCAAGCCCTCCGTGCTGGACCTGGCGTCCAGGGTCCTCCCCCCACCCACCCGCCAGCTATGAAACAGTGACACTTGGCCAGTGCGGGGAGGCCTGTGGGCGTGAACGACGGAACAGCACAGGCAGTGCACCTACACTACGGAACTCACTGCTGCGGAGAATGATCGGGCACCTTCACTGTGCTCAGAACCTCCTGGGACAATAATGGCGTCACACCCTGTTTGGCAACAAAATAGCATTCCTTGATCTTCTAGATTGTAAGGTCACTAGGATATGGACTGTCTTGCTACACAGTGCTAAGCACATTGAGGGCACTTTTAATAATAATGCATCATTCACTGCTATCTAGGTACAGGAAAGTTGGTTTGTTTGCCTGGGTAGTGGGTTTACAGCAGGACAACGGTGTCTGTGCTGAAGGGAGGCAGATGTACATACAAAGTATAGAAGTAACCTGACCTTGCAGTTATTACACAGACAAAACTCCCATTGAAATTTGTGGCAGTTTTACCTACATCACAAATGCTGAATTGGCCCCAGAAGTATGAAAGGGTTCACTTAGCAGCTAGAGATGTGAATGTGAATACTGAGCATTACAAGTCAAACAAAAATGTCTTGACATCCTACTCATCTGTGCTGCATTGTCACTATTGATCTCCAAGGGACTCAGCAGAAATCCTGACATCTTTGTCCATCTTCTGAGTGCCACAGCCAGAATGCCTGGCCACTTCAGGGCCATGCCAGCCTCTACATCTTCCCTTTCAGTCCTCTCGCCATTTTCCAAATAAACAAGCAGAATGCAATATTGCTTGGGGCAGCATGTCTGAGAACATTCCCTGTACTGAAACCAGAGAATGAAAATCTCTCCACAGTAAGACACTTTTGTAAGGAACCGCTGGGCTCTTTACAGTGTCCGTGGATACCGTCTGATTCAGAAAAAGCAGGAAATCCTGAGTTAGGGCTGCTGCTGCCAAAGTGTCTGTGATTCACCCCCAAAGCAAAACCAACACAAATAACAGCCGGAAAGACACCCTGCCCAGCAGCTGTTGGCTTTCAGATTTAGGCCCCATCTGGCTTATGCCCATGAGTATTTGACCAAAACCAACTTTTAATTATTATTTTTTTTAAATCAAAGCATAGTTTTGCCTTTCCTCATACCCTACCATTGTCTCTGCCGTATCTGGCAGCTGGACACTAGAATCAACAGTCAGCTACTGGAGTCCCATCCTCATAGCTAGATTTACTGTGTGTGCACATGTCCTGCAGATTACTGCTGCCCAAATTTGGACTGGGGTCCTTCTGGGGGGCCATAATCTGCCACTTTCCCACATAAGACAAAAGAGTACATCTCTTCCTCCCTCCCCCTGGTAAGACTACTAGGAACTGTGCTATATTAAAGAGTTCTATTACTCTTGGAGCCTTCTGACTCTCCAGAGCCCTTCAGAAACCAAAGGGACTAGCAGATTCACCCATGCAAGTTCAGAAAAGAGCAAATCCAAAGCAGAGTCGGAGGATCAAAACCAAACCCACTTAAGGATTTAGAGGGGATTTTAGAAAAAACAGACCTATCAACTCAGTGAAAAACTTCTGTGATTCAGCCCCAAAACTTCAAAGATTCTTTCTTTCAAGTGTAGTCTCCTGTCAAGCTCTATGGGGGAAGACATACTCAGATGTCTCTTCCCCCAGTCCCATATCGGTCTATGACTACCATATTTGAGGTTGCAGTTGGGACCCAAGTCTAAGATGGCTGCATGTGGATGATGCTCTTTCATATTTCACAGAGTTCCCCTGAAGTGATCAGAACACTAAGGTGCTCAGATACCACAGTGATGGCCATGGACTAAAAACCTTTAGTAGAATACATTTTGCAACAGCTCCTCTAAAGCTGATAAATGTTGTCTTCTGTGATGGGCAAGATAAATGCAGTTCCTCCATGCGCTCTGGAAACCTGAAATTCTCCATCCCATCAAAGCTTTGTTTTTCCCAAAAGGGTTTTGCCAGGTCACCACTGGAATATTGCTTGTCCAGCGCCAAGTCCACCATTTAGTCCCCAGAAGAGGCAGCCCGGGGGAGGCATGGTTCAATTTCTGGCTGATGATGCAGAGGACAGATGAAAGTCTGAGACAGAGCCTTGTGGAAGGCACATGCCAGACCCCACTCTGCCTGGGGGGAGGGAAAGGAGAGTGAGTTCACTGGGGAAAGAGCACAATCAGCTCTTGTGGGTTTTATTTTCCAACTTATATTTTAAATTGTCCAGAATCTTGTCATCTGAGATGCTATTGCCCAACAGCCTCTTACTCAGCGGCTCAGCCACACGGGCGGCAACTCCAAGGAGCCGTAGGAAGCTCATTTTTGATAAATGAACATGTCCTCCCTGCAGCCAGGTTTCTGGAACAGAATCCCCTTAGATGGGGCTTCTTGTTTGTTGTCCTGTCCCTGCGCTTGTAAACTGCAGGCAGATAAATGAAGCTCTCTTGATATCAAGGGAATCTCAGCAGTTTGTGGCATGGCAGGCAGCCAGGGGCTGCTCTGGAGCCTTCTACACAAGTCATCCTTTGGCAGATAGTGCAGGGAAACACATCATTATCTAATCAGGTTACTTCAGAGGGAATTCCCAGCGTTCAGGGCTCCAGAAGTTGTCAGGGCAGAGCAGAATTTACAGCACATGAGTGTTATCGGGACTATCCTGCAAAGCCTAGTTTCCCTAAGGTCTGACCTGCATCCCCTGCCCTGGACCTCAACACACACCTGTCAATGTACCTCCAGCCCCTGCTATTCCAACCCTAGTTCTCCCTCACGCATGCACAGCCCTGCCAGTGCCCCTCAGGCCTGACAAGCAGCATTCCCTGTTTCCAGTCCCAGGCCACACCCAGCAATGCTAATGGAGGGTGGGGAGTGCTGCTAGCCTGCATTCTGGGGGAGGTGCAGCCCTGACTGTCAAACACTCCCTGCATGTGTCAGATGCAGTCAGAGGTCAGTCTGCAAGGAGCTTTGGGCCTCTGCCCATGCCTTTGATCAAGGTCTTGAAGAAACTAGTCAAAACACGAACAATTGTATTGGCACAAAGGGGGATGGGCTCATTGTCTGTGGCAGGCAGGAGGCAGCTGGGCTTGGAGACTTTCCCTGACCCATATATTTATGTAGGACTTTCAAAATTGTGCTTTGAATCTTCAGCCTCCCCCGATCCCCAGGCCACCTCACCCACAGGAAGGGGATTGTTGAGGCAGGTTCATTTCTTTAGCATAAATGACATTTCCTAGCTCCGAGGTTTCTTGAGGCTGCTATTTACATGGATAGAAGCGAAGCTGCCAGTCTGAGGGGTAGGGTAAATTTGGGCCTAAAACATGGGAGGGGCCACTTGCAGCCTCCTCAGGCATCAGGCTGGCATCCCCATTTGGAGAGGGCGGAGAACAGTCCATGAATTCCAAAGAGGAATCCCGGAAGTGGCATCCAGGGATGGGGTGTGCTCAGCGTGTGGCAGGGCACTGGCCATCCACCATGCACACAGAGAAGGCATGCTCCTATCTCAGAGGGTCTCCCCTACCTCAGTGATGATGGGGGAACCCCAGCCCTAAGTAGGGTGACCAGATGTCCCGATTTTATAGGGACAGTCCCGATTTTTGGGTCTTTTTCTTATATAGGCTCCTATTACCCCCCACCCCCGTCCCGATTTTTCACATTTGCTGTCTGGTCACCCTAGCCCTAAGGCTTGTTTCAGAAGAGAGCAAAAGGGGCTATTGAAGGTACATTGGTCCTCAGTTCCACCCGGCTGCAGAGTCAGACCTAGCATTCAGCCAATGGGACTGGGCTTCTTTTCCACAGCAGCCCCTCCCCTCATCCTCCCCACTGTAGAGTGGAGCCCGGCACTGCCAGCAGGGGCTCTCTGCCACCCAGGGCCTTCTCGCTCCTCCTTCCCTTGGATTTCACCACTCCTGCTTTAGGCAGAGTTCCAGGACTCGTTTGCATTTCAGACCAGCTGTTTCACCACAGCCTCACTTCCCAGAACTCCTTTTGTGTTTATTCCTGACTGGCAGCAGCTCCAGGGCAAATGAAACTATTTAAAACAGAATCCACTGACAATGTGTGTTTTGTATGGTCAAAGTTGACAATTGCCAAAATTAAAGTTTTAGAACCAGCTGAGAAGCCAGCTTAGCTATCCTCATCTGCCTGCCTGCAACTCCTCCAAGAGACAAGGTGGGGGAAGCCAGGTCTTCTATTGGCCCAGCTGCTGTTGGTGAGAGAGACCAGCTTTCTCTCCCAGCAGGAATTGGTGCTCCAATGAAAGATGTGACCTCACCCACCTTGTCTCTCTAATACCCTGAGACTGACACAGCAACTACACTGTAAATCCTCAAGCAAATGGGGAACATTGGTGGACCTCCTGGCCCTTCCCCCTCTGACAGCATCTGGCCAGCTTGACCTGCCAGCAAAGTGTATTTGAATTCTTTGAAAGAGTCGTTGGCCCCTGCCTCTGGTCTGGTCCCTTCTAACTGGGGCTGGAGAACCCTGCGGACCAGATTCTCTGCTAGGCTATGAAGAGGCACAGCCCAGCGAATGAGGGGATCCCGGGCTGCTCTAAGAGCGGCTTGGCTTCCTACATGTAAAGTGCTCCGGACACGTCCCCTCCTACCCTCTGCCACCCCTATGCTGAGGGCTCACACCACTGCCTATGCCAAGACTGCACCGAGGAGGATCCCCAGGGGCCAGTCAAGCCAGCTCTATACAGCAGCTGAGCCCAGAATCAAGCCTTTATTTTTGTTAGGAATATAAAGCTAACCTTTGCTCGGTCATTCCTCTCCCCACTGACTGAGGCACTTTAAGTGCTGCTGCCCATCCAGTTGTTGAATAATCCAGTAACCTGACCCCTTTCTCAGAGCCCCGGGTGCGTTTAATCATGTCAGGGGAGAGTTTCACCCTTATTGTTCCCAAATGTTAAATCAGGGTTTTTTTTCCTTCCCTGCAGCTCTTCTGGGAAGTGCAAATGAGGTCAACGGTGGCCTGGAATGTTGTACTTGAACTAAACTTCAGAGCCATCAAGACATTTGATCCACAAACCTTTCCATAACAGATTAGTAACTCCCTTCCCCTCCCACCAGCAGGGCTGAGGGGAGGGCAGTTCTTCTCAGAGAAAGGCTCCCAGATGAACTCCCTGGAATTTTTGATCTCATGCCTGCTTCTGCAGCACATTCTGCACGCTAGCGGGGAATACCGGGAATCCTCAATGTCCTTTGAGTGGCAGCAACATAAGGAGCCGTCTATCAGGGGAAGAGGCAGGAGGGTTCTCCAAGGCCATTTTTGTTTGTACTTTGGCTCTTCCACTACATCTCCCCATATGCTGTAGTTTGGGGGGGGGGATAAACTGCAATTGGTTTGCTGCGCTAGAGGCTAGTGGACAAACAATTCACCTTTTGGGAGCTCACCTCTAAACTTTGGAGCCCCAGCCACATCAGGTACCTTTGCCTGCCTCCAGTGCCTCTTTCCACACAAGGCACTTTGCAAACATTGGTGAATTAGCCTCCAGCCCCTGGGAAGCCTTAGCCCAGCTTACAGCTGGAGGGAGGAAGACAGGGGCAAGCCACACAGTGCATGGGAGGCAGAGCTGGGACCAGAACCCAGCCTCTCTGTGTCTGGATCCCAGGCCAATCCTTCCTCGCCCATCTACACTGCAAAGAGCTCACACCCGCCAGCCCTTGGGCTTCTGCCCCCGCTCCCCTCATCCCGATCCGCTGGGCTCTCCTGCTTCCTCCCCACTGCTCTGACTGTCCTCCCTCCTCCATCTCCTCTGCGCCCCGGGCCCTTGACACCCTCCTAGCCGTCTGTCCCGGGCAGCAGCTGCCCCACTGCGGCCAGGGCAGGAAGGGCACTGCCTAGGCTGCTGTAAGTTTCCATCACCTGTCCTGGGCAGTGCCCTGCAGCTGGAAGAGCCACTCCGCACCCCACCAGCGAACTGCCTTTGAACAGAGAAGCTCCCCAGAGGCAGCCGCAGCTCCCGAGGTCTCTGCCCCAGGGAAGGAAGCTCCAGCCTGGGGGGCTCACGGGCAGCTTTTCCAGCGAGCTCAGCGCCCCGGGAGCCGCCGGGCGCTCCGGACAGCCCGGCTCGCCCGGCCCAGGTGCTCGGCGCGGCGCGGCCCGGGGGGGCCGGCCGGAGACTCACCGCTTCTTAGAAGGAAAGCGCGCGCCGAGCCGCGGGGGGAGCCCCGCGCTGCCCGGAATGGGCCGGCGCTGCCTGGCGCGCTGCCCGGGCCGCCCGGCGGGCGGGGCCGCGGCGTTACAAGAAGAAGCCGAGTTCCAGGAAGCGCGGGGCGGGGCCGGGCCGCGGCGATATAAGAGGCGGCCCCGAGCGGCCCCGGCAGCTTTGGAAGGCGCCGAGCCGGGCGCGCACCGCTGAGACCCCGCCGCAGCCCCTGCCCTGCCCGCAGGCGAGATCCGCGCCGCCGCCGCCCTGCCCCAGGTAACTGTCCCCGGCCCGGCCCGCCGGGCACCGAGCGCCGCTGGGAGCCGGCCCGCCCGGGCATGACAGCTGGGTACAGCCCGGGCACGCTGCGGGGTGCAGCCTAGAGAGCGCCCGGGGGCACCCGCGGGCAGGGGGGGAGCTGGTACCGGGCAAGGGGAGCGTGGGTACCGGGGGGAGGCGACCCGTTTGGGGCGAGGGG